CCAACATAATTCTAAGTATTTGTACTTGGAAATATGCTGTTTCTCATGAAATTAAGACAATTTATGTAGGAGTTACAAAGCATCTCAGATTAACATTCAGCAAAAAATGTGAGTTTGTTGACAGCAAAAACTACTACAAAGGAGACCTGGGACACTAAGCAGCAGCCATGGGCACCAGGGTCTAGCAACACCCCTGATGAAAGCAAATCTCTTCTAAGTAAGGAAATTCTCTTACACAGTTGTAACTGTATCTGTAGCGATTTCTTATACAGTGACAATTGTAAAATTTTTAATTTTCATATCACTTTGTTTATCGGAGACAGTGGTCACCAAGACAAACAAAGAGGGTAAATCCCCTGAGACGAAGCAGAGAATAAACACCTGATGGTTTTTTAACCCCTCAATACTTTATCCAATGCTAAAAAAAAGTTTTGACTTTAGATAGATTTAAAGCAGGATGAACGCAGGTAACAAATTCTGTGTGTCAGTTTGTGTGTTCCCTTCCAGCTTCAGAAACTGAGACACTGATACAGTATATTTAGAGTTCCAAATAGCTGAGTAGAAAAGTTTGCATAACATGGGAGAATTATTAAGAAAGTTAGTGCCAAAAACTGTCATTCTATCTCCACAGCCAATAATCAGATTAGGACCTGCCCTAGAAAATAACAGTGGGAATCTGAAAGATTGTATCTGACAGGCGACTGTAGGGTAATGCCGAGAACTCTCAGTAATCACACACAGATATAGTTATCTTACCCTGCAATAGATATACAGTTCTTACTGTTTGCCAAACGGAATGTAAACTGTCACACACATACATTTATCACCAGTTCATTGGTTAAATGGTTCTCAATGGTGCTCAATGGTACTTTTAGTAATAAGCTAAATTGAGATGTTGTACCATGAAAAAGTGCTATGTGAAGCCTATGCTGTCTAAGGGTAAAGCAAATAAGCAAGACATTTCATAAGTGAACCATGTATTGAGAACCAAATTTTAACGTGAACTTGGTCTCCTTGCTGAATAAATGAAATTACAAATGCAATCCTAAACAGGCCATACAGTGTAATTTTTTCTTGGTTCAACCTAGTGGCTGAACGCCGAAAATATAACAGATTCCTCCAACGCTTATGAGCTTATGATTGAGGAATCTCCCGCTGTCTTCATTGTATTCTGACAACGGCCGCTGGCCAGAATACCCAAACAGAGCTGGCATCTGATTGGCTGCCCACTCTGATCATTCAAAGATTTTCCAACTGGCTCCTTCGATCAGCTGATCGAGGGATGCTGACTGAAAGGGTGCCAACAGGGGCACCTACTGTAGGAATTTTGGCCCGGTTTATCAAGAACTGGCCGAAATTCGCATAGTGCATGGCCAGCTTTACTATGATCATTTTCACCTTGACAAATGTGTAACAGTTTGGCCAAATCTAATTCTAATCTAATAGCTTATCCCAATCTAAAACATATCAACGTATTCATTTTGCTACCTCTGAATGACAGTCTTTATAATGTCTCTTGTATATAATTTGTATCCAATCAATGCTGTGATAGCAAGAAAATATAAGTTCACCATGTAAAATAAATTATTTGTATTTATTGTTCTGTTTATGAGGCTGTAATGATCTGATTTTTATTTGTAGACTCAAGGCATGAGTTTCTTTCTAGATCATATCATTATATAAAATAGAGATATTGGTGCATTGCTATTTTTCTGCCGGAGACACCTTACAGGGTGGTGTGGCCTTCTATCATCTGCTCTATGCTATAAACTGGATTGACATGATTTTTTTATACTTTGATGTCATAGGACAGCTGCAGGGTGTGTGCTTTCTGAACTTATTATACTGTACTTGCCAGGAGTATTCAAATCATAACAATTATACTTAAAGTGAATCTATAGTGTTTTTTCAGGGAGCATACATTTAGCGGGATATTTATAAAGCAAACTTTGTGACTTTCACACAGAATTCACTGGTGGTAAATCAGTCTCTGTCATGTAAAACACATGCAAATATATCCGCACTGCTTGGGCATGAGCGGCCAATTGCTAAGACACATGGGGGAATGGTGACAGAGATGTCATACCCTTGGGAAAGCTGTAACACTATTCTGACATTAGAGCTTACCCAGGGTGAGATCATAGTGATTTACTAAAAGCAAATAGGCTGTTAAATCTGCAAATTCATTTTCACTTTGCAAGGAAATGTTCCCTTAGCATAGTGTATGTGGCAATTGTGGCATCAATAACTACCTCCTTTCTGATGCTACGTTCCATAGACACATTTCTCTGTGACCCAGCATTGGTGGTTTTCTGCCCAGTGACCCACTTTCTGTAAATGAAGGGTGTCATGGGGCCATTAACCCACTCTCTGTGCTGATGTCATCAACACTCTCTACATGATTGAGGGTTGCCCAACACTGGAGAGTAAGAGGACCCTGCGGCATTATGTGAAAGTCTTGAAGACATCTGAAAGCCTCCTTTTGGGGGAGAAAGAGGGAAGGGGCTCCAGAGAGTGGAGGACTTGGGGTAGGATGGTGGAGTTGGGCTTTAATGAGCCCTCAAAGTTTGCTAATTTTTATTTGTGCTGGCTGAAGCATCATCCTGATATGCATGGTCAGTGACGGTAGTCATTTCAATATTTCTGTGGCCCTTAGGGATACTGCTATCAATATATTTGTTATGCATTATTAGTGTTCAATTCCTTAAAAAAAACAAAAAGTACACCAAAGCTGTAAATGTTTTGTTTCATTTGTGTGAAAGTTTTCTTTCTGGCTTACAAGGCTTTAGTAACTGATGTTTTTAGATAGTGACTAATACATCCTTTACAGAAAAAACTCATTTAAATCCCATAGCGGTGGCAATGTATTAAAATTTGATGGATCATCCCAACTGCATGCTACTGCTTTAACTGCTACTTAAAACCCATAAACAGTGTGAATGACTGTTTACATAAAAATTTCAAGAAGGGATTCTGTAACTATTTCTCTGCTCTGGGAGAAAATTGTGATGCACAGTGCAAAGTTAAGGGCCCAAAACCAAGCAGAATTTAAGTAGTTGATGACCAAGTATTGGATGCTGAATGCTATAGAAACTACAGCCAATGACAAAGCATTGATTGCTTATAGATGCTGTGCAGTAGACATGTGCACTGCCAAAAAATTCGTTTAGTTAAGTTTCGTTTTAAATTCGGATTTGTGTTATTTCGTTTTTCAGGATTCGGGTGTGAAAGTCAATTCGGATTCGGAATTCGGATTCGGACGAAATTCGGTAGCGTTCGTACGAACGTTCGTTTCGTTTTCTGTTCTTATCCGTTTCTTATTCGTTTCGTTCGTTTGCAGCAACAGTGACATTTGAGGGGGAAAAAATATTTTGCTCCAACGAACGAAACGAATAAGAAACGAATAAGAACAGAAAACAAACGAACGTTCGTACAAACGCTACCGAATTTCGGAAATGGAAATTCGTTTGCATTCGTTATGTCTGTAATTCGGATACATCCGAATGTCCGAATTTCCGAAAATTCGTCCGAATTTCGATTCGGAACGAAACGAATCGCACATGTCTACTGTGCAGTGATATATAGTGAAATTACACTGTATACTGGAGGACTTGTAATCATAGATATTAGCGTTGTTTAGGACTAACAAAACAATTTGTAACATATGGAATGTACAACAATGTATAAAATAATGTGATGTTAATATAGCATTGCTTCTGTATAAATGATATGTAAGGCCACATAAGCATGTTGGGTCAGTTTTGGGGACATCATTATTAAAAGGACATGAAAGTACTGCAGAGCAAGGCAGGCATTAATTTAAAACATTTTATTTTTAGATTGGGGAAAAAAAGACATCTTAGTCATAATTATTTTGTTCAAATATATACAAGGCGAGTATAAAGACTTAATTAGCTATACCAAGGACTAAACAAAGGATATTCCAGACATGGGAAGCAAATATTGGACACAGGAGAAAGAAGATTATTGCATTCATTTTGCCAAGGATACATTAGAAGTGGTTAAAGAATACGTAAAGTCATCTGTGCAAAGTATGCTTGAACATTATGGCTAACTTACCCCCTAGTTTGGTCTCCTACATCAATGCAAGGTATGCTTTCCCTGTTACTGTTCTATTGCTACCGCATTCATCTTCCCTGATTCTTCCTACAGCCTGGTGTCTTCTTTATTGAGCAGCCACTAATTATGCAATTCCATACATACAGCAACTACTCATGGCATCTTGCTGACAGTGTACACTGCACTGCATATGTACCACAGTCGGTATACAATAAAAAAAATGCTAGCAAGAAGGAACATGCTAAGTCCTAACACTGAAATTACCTGCTAGCTTTTTCTTTGCACATTTCGTTCCACTTTAAGGTACAGAATGCTTTGCTTCATGATTCACTACTGGCAAAAACAATAATCGAATTTAAAAAAAGAAAGGATGATGGTTTTACGTCTAGGAGAGCAATATTTTGATGCATGGAATTGATTTGACCTGAGGTCAGGAAGGATTTTTTTTTCTCTTGAGTGGCAAAATTGGCAACCGTTTTTGTTTATCCTCCCTCTGCAGCAAAGCTGCAGGGGTTGTGAGAAATGGAACTTGATCAAAGTAATTATTTTTTTCAATCATATTAACTATGTACCTATGTAAGTTATGAGGCTTCTGTGTCAGAATTTTGGGAAACTTTGAGAATAAATGCAAGCTAAATAGCAGAATTAATAAATAATAATGGTTGAAAAAGGTAAGGTTATTTAAAGATTTATTCATCTAAAATAATTTATATATACAGTAACTTTCTTGGTGGTACCTTTTATTTGTATTTGCCTATTTAAAATGTAAAAGTTAAGAAAATTTTAAGCGCTGTTCCAGCCAGCCCAAAGCCCACTTAGATCAAAACAGTCACGCTCTTATCAACTAGGTGACAATCTCGTCACAACTCATATAAAACATTGTCTGTGGTTTTCCATTAATTCTTGTTATATTTTTGTAGCACAATGTCAAGACGGCTCCATTCTTTTCGTTCTGGTGGCATTTCAAGAAGTAAATCAGAGGGAACATTAATCGATTTGGATGGACCGAATGTGCAAACAAGCAAACCAGGTGAAATCTCTTATATATTATGTTATCCAAGTAATGTTTATTGTCAGAATATTTATGCCTTTTTCAATATCAGAAGTTTGATTAAAGTCATTTAAGGTAAATTGACCTTTTAAAATAAGTTCAGTGTTAAACATCATATCCTATTTGTCTTATATGTCGATAGTTTTATATTCTGAAAATAGGAGTTTACTGAAAAAATCCTGACTTATTCTGCATCTAAACTGTAATCTCACTACTGACCTGTGCCATTCTATGACTGTACAATGTAGTTATGGCTGCTATACTATTCTGGCTGATGCACCAGAACTATGTACTCATGAATGTTAATCATTTTTTTATACTTTGATTCATAACTCACAACTGTCCCACTTTTGCAGGAACTGTCCTTCATTTTGGTTTATCTACCAAAATGTTATACTGCTCTAAGCCCTGGTTCACACCTTTTGAGCAATTCTAAAAGCGCTTTTAACTGCCCAACACAAGTAATCCCATGATTTTCAATGGCCCTGGTTCACACCTGAGCATAAAAACGCCTAGCAGGAAAACGCCAGACGCCTTAAAAGATGCAGGAGCTTCTTTGGGCAGTTAAAAGCACTTTTCTCATAGATTTCATTGGAAATACCCAAAAATGTGCAACAAAAACATGTTGCACATTTTCGTGAGCATTTTTGTGAGTGGAAAACGATTGAGACCTGGTCTGAAGATTGTGTGAACAAGCCCTAATGAGCAATCAAATTGTGACCTTGTATTGTTACCTTATTGAAAACACACATGTGAAATTACTTTTCACATGTTTTCAAAAGGTATAATTCTAAACTTTAAAGTGAAACTCAAGTGAAACTCAAGTGGCCCAACTTTGGACATCAAACATCTACATAGTTTTAGTAAACCTTCCGATCTCCAATGTAAACACAGCAGAGGCTCTGGGTATGGGGAGCAAGCGGAAATAAGTGCCTGAGAAGACTTGAATGACTTCAGTGCTTCTGTTATGAATTCGGAAGATGAATTGCTCCACATTGCCTCAAGTTACACTGGTGAAGGACGGTTTTTGTTTTTTTAAAGCTTATTTGCGTCTTGAATTTATGAAACCTTAAATGTCCATAACCTGGCCACAGGTTTACTTTAAATATAAAAAGGAAAATATATGCCCAGATCCAGCCTTTGTTTTATAAATGTTTTCCACTGTGTTTAAATTATTAACTTCTTTTAGTAAATATATTTTAAAGTAATCATATTTTTGTAAGTGGACTTTAAAGCTCTCCTTGAAACATTGTTATTAACAAATGATTAACTTTAAAAGGGTAGGAATGAATTTACACTGCAGTATAACAGCATTCCAGCTCTAATGATATATTCAGCGCAGATAACTTTTTGTGAGTTCTTTCCTTGCCAGCATCCATAAAGACAAAATCTAATATTTAATATAGATTGGATACAATTAATGGAAATGTGACACAAAAAACTGCTTGCATCATTGGTACTCTATATTAGTTGCCTATATATTGGCTCTGTCTGTTCTGTCGTCAGCTGTACAATTCACCATAATGTAGCAACAGTTCAATTCCAATTATACCAGCTGGCAGGTTTGTAAAACTAGAGTGCTGGTAATATTGTAAAATTGATGTACTCTTTTGATAAAGACTAGTCTTTATACTGGCTAATGTGTTAAGTAATGTATAAATATAGGTATAAGCAGTGTAGTTACATATTACTGTCAACAACAAAGGGGACATTTTTTGAAAGGTGTTTTATTTAAGATTGCTTTTTAGTACAAAGTTGCACCTTTCACTGACTCACATTCACACATTTGTTTCTACCTATTCCCCCCAAGGAACCCATTTATTATAAAGAAGTCAAAGACAAGTAGTACACTTTTAGAGCAACTTAGTTCAAAGCCTCACTTAAATTGTTTTTAAGGACCTGTACAAGTTTTGGAACCATTATTTAGGCATTCCCAAGTAATATAGAGTTGATTGTACTTGGGTTAAGTGCCAGTGATAATATTAATAAAGGTTTTTATGTCCGAAGCTGCCGCTTCCTTCCACTTTAGTAAAATTATCTTTCTGGCATGGAAGACCAGTAGCCATATTAGCTGTTTGGGGTGTTTTGCTATTATATGATTTGGTAATTTGGCAAGGAAGTAAAGGTCCATGAGATGTGACAGATCAAGGCCCAGAGTCATTGTTAGCAAATGGTGTATTTGTTGGCAGTAAGGTGAGCGTTTAGGACAAGAGCAAAAGACATGAAGAACATCTATGTTGTAGAGCAGCAGTGGCATTGGGCCGAGAGACTCAACCCCAGTTTGTGTATTTTTCTAAGAAGCATAGTATAATCTAACCCTAACCCTAAGTAAAATTTATGAATGAAAATCCTGTGCCCTAATAATTTTAGAAAACGATTCCTAAATGATAAGGAATGGGAAGAAATGGGAATCGGTCACCTTGATCAGGCTTTATCAGTGTGGGCAGGGGTCTGTTAGAGAAAATGGCCGATGCTCATCACCTTTTTAGGGATAGTTGTTGCACTAAGTTGACCTTCAAGAGAAGAAATCTTTATAATCAGAGTCTATGATGCCAGTTGAGCTGGAACAGTGTGTCAATGAATGAGGTACCTATAAAAGTGAGTTATTTAATTGAAAGTAATTTTCAGGCCTTCAAAAGAGACAAGCATAATATAATATAATTGACAAACATATTTAATCCCTCTCTGGGCTCACCGCAGCCCATCTGCATAATCTTACAATGTTCTTAAGTGCAGGTTATATCATAGTATTAGGAGAAATTTGCATTTTAGTACGTTTGGGCAAGGTTTTAGCATAATACCATACTCAGGGCCAGATTTACCTTTAAGGCAGAATAGGCACGTGCCTACAGGTGCCCTCCATAGAGGGGCACCATGCAGGTACCTACTCTGCCTAATTTCCGGTGTTGTGTCAAGATACAACACCGGCAATAACAAGGAGGGTGCGTTCTGCACATAATTCTGCACCCTCGTGCGCCACAACCAGTGGCACCTACAGGAGCCACCATCTTCCACAAACACAGGGGAAGGACCCAGGTGCTGTGTAAGGCTGCCCTGTAAAACGCCTGTCTAATGCAGACAGGCATTTTGGGGCAGCATTAAGCTACGCCGGGGTCCTTCTCTGCATATGTGAAAACCGACGGGTCCCGCAGCAGGTGTGGACACCAGCTCAGGCTAAACATATTTCCATTTGTGCCTACAGATGCCCAAAATGGAAATTCAGCCCTAACCATACTATTACACCTATGTCTAGAGGTGAATTTTTGTTATAGTAATGTAGGTGGAATCTAAATAATTGATTTTTCAGCCCTTTATATGGTTCCTGTAATGCCACTGATAGACATTAATGTTGAAAATTTGGTACTGATAGATCTTCACTGTCTTTATGCACATAGAGACTGAGTCTGTTTAATGGGTGGCACTAATTCCAGATAAACGAGAAAAGAAAGGAGTGTATGGATAAAAAGTGTTTTATTAGGATTGTACTCCAGGATTGAATGTAGGACGTAAAAAAAACTTTAGAAGATAGATCTTTTTAAATAGGTTTAACTGCCATCTTAGGTTCAGTAGGAGGGATTGACACATTTTAATTTTGGCTGCCATAGATTTGACTAGAAGGATCCGATTTACTGTAACACAGTTTTGGATCAAAATCCCTAGGTATTTAAATGTTAAAATTGTTGATACACTGAATGGAGTATCTGATGGAGAGATGCATGGTTAGTCCAATAAGGAATATAATACATTTTTCTAGGCTAACTTTGAGGTCCCATTCACTGCTGAGCATTTTGGTGAGCCATTCCCAAAGCGCGACAACACTCAAGATGAAGAATCCCATTATTCTCAATGGGCCTGATCACACCTGAGCACTGTGTCGCTTGTTGCCTATCGCACGCAGCTCATAAGCATGCGTGTAAAATCCATGTTTTTTTCAAGTGCTCCCATTTAACTTGATGGAACCAAAAACATATGATTCTGTTTCTGTACTACACATCAAGTGGAGAAACACACGCACACATGCGGGAAAAAAAGTCTCTAAATCCCCTGGCTACACTCACATTTGGGTGTGACTGGGGCCTCAGACTTGAAAAGGTACCAAATACTTCAATAATCCTTAACGGTTAAGAAGGTCAGTGCATCTTCCCATCCAAGTAAATTATTGTGTCATCCGCAGAAAGATTTTCCTCCAGTCTACCCTGGGTAATACCTTTGACTTTTGTTGATTGTCTTATTAGATTCGCAACTGGTTCTATTGTTAGCCCAAAGAAAAATGGTAACAGGTGGCAATCCTGCCTTGTTCACCATTACAAATGGATAAAGGGAGAATTTAATTTGTTTGTGCGCACCCACGTTACCACGCCAGTGTAATTTTATTAATTTAATGAATTCAGGTCCAAACCCCATTTTGTTCAGTGCTGCGCATAAGTATTCCCATAGGTCTTGTGAATGTTGAATGACACCACACGTTTGGATTCATCAGACTCCCGTATTGCATGCATGTTTAAGTACAAGCTCCTAGTGTTTGTAAAGATGCGTTTGTCTGGCATAAATCCCATCTGGTAGTGCTATATATGTTGCGCTCAGTCTAACTGTGCAAAATCTCTCAAGATTGGTGAGTAGATTTCACCTCCTATTAGTGAACATAATGATTAAGTATATTTACATAAATATCTATATAACGTGATCTAAATTACCAATCTATATCCCAACATCAAACCCTCTGCTGATGCACATGATTATATACAAATGTGCAAATCCATGATTCACTTTAAATAATACATTTAAAAAAAACTATACATGTGTTAACATATAAGTGGCTTGACAAGTGTCAAGTATAAAGTATAAATAGCTATGCTAAAACAACATGTCCGTCCATGAACCCAAGGGCTGTTTTTTATAAAGAAGGAAGGTGGATTTACTTTCCTTTCTTTTGAGGCATCAAATGTGCCAAGGATCCTATTCTGTTATATTCATATTGA